AAGTTCATCCATGAAGCAGCTCACACCGGAGGGGACGTACGTTCACTTCATAATGTTGACAAATAAAGCTCTTTAACTCAACAAATGCTATATGAGCTGAAATAAGAGTTGTCAGATAGCTTTCAGGGCCGCGTAACTTTTTAGTTTCGAATTAGCACGCTCCTCCTTCGTTTCGACGATTTTTTTGTAATTCAGGAACCCGACCCATTCGCAGAAACTCGCACAAAGACAATTATAGAAAGGCAGGCCTCTAAATATGCAGAACGTGCACGACACAGGGCAATCTCTCCAGATCGAGTTGATGCTTTCAGTGAGTTCAGTTGACAGCTTCACTACGTGTGTCTATACTAATTGTTTTTTAGTTGATCAAACCCCTGATCAAAGGAATCGCGGCTATGCGGAGATTATGAAGGAGCAACAGTACAAAGAAGAAAAGGGGAAGGTAATTAAACGTTTATTGATGTGATTATGTGCAAATACGCTGATTTTCGCAACTTATCTTTAATTGAGGATTAGTAACTCTCATAAGGCTTCACTCACGCAAATATTTTATTGCTGTGATTTCTTGACTTCTCTAAGGTAGTTTCAGTCTCAATCTTGTCGATATTTTTCATTTGATTTATTAAACCATCATGGTAAGCCTAAAGTTTTCTGCGAGAAATTTGTTGCTGTAATCAATGGTTTGTAGCATCATAATCATCTTCCATTCTCTGTGATTTTCACAGCTTTATCGCTTTTGGAAAACTTAGATATGAGAGGCTGCTTCAGTCGGGTTCTCCTTTGCCCCCACAGCGAAGTGTAATGTAAGATCGTATTGTTGTGCAAATAGTAGGGAATCATACGAGATAAGGCATCAAGCAGGAGTGCAAAAAATTGGCGTTTGTCAAGCGCTATCAAAGAAAGACTGTTATCATCAAACAAATTAGTTGAGTTTGATGGAAGTTATTTAGTAGCTTTCTATCTAAGAAGTTTTTTTTTCGTGCAACTCGAGTTGGCGAAAGAGCGACAAGAATCTTACACTTTAAGCGTAGAAGGAGTAACTTATCTCTCTTCCAGGTTTCCACAGCAATTTTTAAGTTCTTAAGTAGGACTTCAAGAAAATCACCTGGTTATTGTTGAATTCCTCGGGAGTTGTTTGGCAAGGATACATTTTGAAAGAAATTGTAATGCTCACTTGAGACACAAGTTCGCGATATGTCATATCACTTTTTGAAACATGTGCATGTTTATATTAAAGATTATGCGTGAATAGGTATACTTTCTGATTGGTATGCGGGAAGCTTTTGCAAATTTTCTGGTCTCAACTTCTTGTACGCAAAGTCACGTTTTATATCTG